AGGCGGCAGGAATCAAAGCTCAAAACATTACTCTCTGGCCTTGTTCCTGCCTCCGGCAGACAGACTGCTGTATGCCAACACAGGCTGAATATTCTCTGCGACTGTTTTCAACTAAGAAACAGAAAGGTCAACTTCACAACCCATTTCTCAATGCCTCTGGTTACTTTATTTAACAGAAAAGTGGAATATATTCTTAATATAGCTTAGATATGAAATCAAACACTTAAAATAATCAGCTTAAGCTAAAGCCTTTGGCCCTCCTCTGTGTGAATGCCTGTGCCAACGAAAAGGGATTTATCAGGTGAGCTGGCTTTGCAAAACTGCAAAAATGAAAGTGCCTGCAACAGCCCAACAAGAATCCAAACAGCAGAGAGGCATATAAAGCATACAAGGTCAAACAAGGCATGTTTTGAAAACCTGCCTTTTAAGGAACATGAAGTCCTCCTACAAAGCACTCCAACTTTCTGGATTAAGACAGATAACTTTATGGAAGCTACAGCCTTTGTTAAATATAAATTTAACTACAAGGCAGTTCAATAATATAGTTCTCCCCTCCTGTGCCCAAAATACAATTAAACACTTAAAACCATCCAAATGCCATAATTTCAACATTCACTTCAGACATCCCAAGTAAATTACCGTAACCAGACAGGACTCCCAAAGGAATGCATCAGATATTTGCAGAGGACTTGGCTATAAAGGCCATGAATAAAGCAGGGCAAGTACAAGAATGAAAAGTTACCTCTGCCAAGATGACTACATCATCGTCATCTTCCTCACGCTGCTGCTCTGCTGGTGTTTCCGGCAACAAAGGTAATTCTTCATCCGAGGAATCTGATATCATGATAAGACCTTCGTCCCTGCGGTTTATCCAGTCTGTAGTAAAGTAAGTAAAGTTTGCTATTTGCTAGAAGTTGATTAACTGAAATTACAGAACACAAGCACCGAAACATCTGAAAAAGCAATCTTCACGTTTGCGTTGCAGCAACAGGGAAGAAGCGCGCAAAGGTCACTGGCTCCTCTGCAAGTTACTGTTACAGCCACTCCTACTGCCCTCAGCTCTCCGAGCAAAACACGTGCACAAACTACAGCTCAAGAGACCACAATGGCACACACATGAAAATCACTCGTTGACACTTATGCAGAGATTCTTCTATCCCAAACTTCAGCATGAGTCAAGCTGCTGCCAAAGTTATTCTGAACAAGCCATGTACATAGTACTTCCTAATTTTTGCAGAGAAGTCCTGAACATTCAGTATCTCGGGGATGATATGTTTTCTTTTATTAATGCGCAGTCCATTCTAGAGGAGAGATAAGGTTCCCTGTGCAATGTGGCCTCTTCT